GCAAGCTGCCTGTACCACCCTGCAACCCCAGGTGAGAAAACACATGGGCATGGAATGAGAGAAATCATTTCCACACATGTTGGCATCCTCTGAGACTGCACAGGCTGTGGTATGATCCCTCCCTGCTGACACCGAATCTTCACCTGGGTGCTTAGTGGGTGAGCATCTGACTCATCCACGAGCATGCTGGAGCCCAGTAGTTTCCAGTCTGGAAATGGCCACCAACTGGACTTCTTTGGCTCGATCCCAAAACCCTGGATGAAAGAAAGGGGATTAGAAAAACTAGAAATGAGTGAAGGAATTGCAAATGGCCTTCTCTGCGGGGGTGGCTTGACACATACCTATATGGCCTCTTACCAAGCCAGCCTTTCCTTTTGTAAGCTCATGAAGCACCTTCCCTGACTCAACCTGCAGTTTTGCATTAACTTCCTTTTCCCCATTCTCCGCTAATTAAATTCTGGTTCCTAAAACCTCCATTCTAGCTTCTAGTCCCCTTCCCCACTATCCCAACTCCACTGTGCCCTCCTGGCTTCTGCTTATCACCACTAAATCTTATCACAGCTATAATAATAATAATAATAATTGATTTACTTATCTGACTCACCTACTTCTTGAGGGAAGACTCTTCTTAAGAAGAAGACTCATGTTTTAATCATCAGCGAATGCCCTGGTCCCCAGCAGAGCGCTTACAAAGGAACCCATTGAATGGATTAGTGTTCCCACAAGGTGGCTACTTCTCAGCCTCTGGAAGGCATAGCGGCTTCCGATTCTGTACATCCAGTAAACAAGCCTGGGTTTGTATGTAGGAAGCTTCTGACCTGTTAAAACCGATGCCACTCCCAAGCCAGAAATGAGGACGGAGTAAGCTGTGGCTGGCAGAACATCTGGCAATTGATAAACACTTAATAGTGACCTGCTATAAAAAGGAGGTGCTTGCCTGGTACCAAGCCTGCTGACCTAAGTTTGATCCCCAGGACCCAGGTGGTAAAGAGAACTGACTCCCACAAGGGATTCTGATTTCCACATGCTCACCATGATACACGTGTACATGTGTGCACAAGCATGCACATGTGCATGAACACACAACTACAAATAAAGAAATATGAAAAAGAATAGCATGGATCAATGTAGTATAATTCAGGCAAACCAGCAAGCTCTAAGTTAGTCTGACTGACTATCAGGACATCTCCTTTTCCAACCAGACAAAACTTCACCCTGTATATGGAACAGTCAGTTAAGAACAGAAGTGTGTTCAAGAGGAAGCACTAGCAGGGCACGGTGGCACACACCTCTATTCCCAGCCCTGGGAGGTAGAGCAGGCAGATCTCTATGAGTTCATAGCTAGCCTAGTCTACACAGCAGATTCCAGGTCATTCCAGGCTAGACAGGAGACATTACCTTGGAAAGAGACTGGTGGGAGGGGAGTTGGGGCAGGGAAGGAAAGGGGGCAGGGACAACAGAGGGCAATAACTGAAGAAGAAAGAAGAAACTTGTGGCCGGTTGTTGGTGGTGCACGCCTTTAATCCCAGCACTCAGGAGGCAGAGGCAGGTGGATCTCTGAGAGTTCTAGGCCAGCCTGGTCTACAGAGTGAGTTTCCAGGACAGCCTCCAAAACAATACAGAGAAACCTTGTCTCGAAAAACCGAAGAAGAAAAAGAAGAAGAAGAAGAAGAAGAAGAAGAAGAAGAAGAAGAAGAAGAAGAAGAAGAAGAAGAAGAAGAAGAAGAAGAAGGAAGAAGGAAGAAGGAAGAAGGAAGAAGAAGAAGAAGAAGAAGAAGAAGAAGAAGAAGAAGAAGAAGAAGAAGAAGAAGAAGAAGAAGAAGAAGAAGAAGAAGAAGAAGAAGAAGAAGAAGAAGAAGAAACTTGTGATCTGGAAAAGATGCATTAGAAATTCCAAAGAACACCAAACTTTCTTCACAGCTCTCCTCACACTCTCACAGCTCTCCTCACAGCTCTCCTCACTCTCACAGCTCTCCTCACTCTCACAGCTCTCCTCACACTCTCACAGCTCTCCTCACACTCACAGCTCTCCTCACACTCACAGCTCTCCTCACAGCTCTCCTCACACTCACAGCTCTCCTCACACTCTCACAGCTCTCCTCACAGCTCTCCTCACACTCACAGCTCTCCTCACTCTCACAGCTCTCCTCACACTCTCACACTCTCCTCACACTCTCACAGCTCTCCTCACACTCTCACAGCTCTCCTCACACTCACAGCTCTCCTCACACTCACAGCTCTCCTCACACTCACAGCTCTCCTCACACTCACAGCTCTCCTCACACTCACAGCTCTCCTCACACTCACAGCTCTCCTCACACTCACAGCTCTCCTCACACTCACAGCTCTCCCTCACACTCCTCACTACAGCTTTACCCTCACTCTCTTATTCCACATTGCTCCAAAGCTTTTTCCTCATATACTCCCCAGCTCACACACACACAGAGAGAGAGAGAGAGAGAGAGAGAGAGAGAGAGAGAGAGAGAGAGAGAGAGAGAGAGAGCTTCCCTCACACTTCCCCCAGCTATTTTCTCTCACTTCCTCTCCAGGTAGTCTCTCATACTTGTCCCCAGGTTTCCTCATAGGTTGCGGTTGCCCTGAGTTCTCACATACTCTACCTGTCCCCTCACATTTTCCTCAGCCATATATATATATATCCCTAAGCTTTCCTCTCACTACTCCTCTGCCCTGTTTTTCAAACTGCCCCCAGGTTCCTGCCTCACACGTAAGTAGTAAGTATACACAGTCACCGTTGGGTATATATAGTGGCATACACACACATCGATGGTTGTGTTGTATACTTGCTGTTTCCTGAAATAACTGATTTTAAACAGGACCCATAACTTTTGATAAAACAAGAGAAAGTTCCTTCAAGGTGAACTCTCCCTTCCTCCCTCTCTGGCTGTGATTATTCAAGTTAGGCACGAACCCTGCCATGATCCCTGTGGCCCCCAGGGCAAACCCTCTTCTCTTTTAACTTTCAACACTTTTTTTTGAGACAACAGGATTTCTCTGTGTAGCTACAGCTGTCTTGGAACTCATTCTGTAGACCAGGCTGGCCGCAAACTCAGAGATCCACTGCCTCTGTTTCCAGAGTGCTGGGATTAAAGGCGTGCGCCCCGCAACTTTCAACATCACTCACTCAGTCCTACCTACCCTGCTTCTGGAGTAAAAACTTTGAAATGAGCCATCCTGAAGTAGGGTATAGGAGTGTGTGCTTATAAACTTGATATTCAGGAGACTGAGGCAGGAGGATGAGGGTTTGGAGGCCAGTCTGGTGGCCCTGTCTCCAAAGAAGACAAGAGAAACAGACAGTGAGGGTTATAAGGATGCACAGCAGTAATCCCAGCACTCCAGAGGAGGATCAGGAATTTGTTTCCATTCATCCTCAACTACAAAGTGAGTTCCAGGACAGCCTGGGCTAAAGGAGACTTCATTGTTGTTAAGGTGGGGAGGGTGTCACTGTGTCTGTGTCTGCATGAGTCTTTCTTTTTTTGAGGACTTGGTAAGAGGAATCAGAAAATGTTTTGTGAAGGGACAGGGGGAGAAACAGATAAATAGTAAAAGGTTGCTGACTTTTCTTCCTTGCTTTTCTTTGGTTTTGACTTGTTAGGTTGCTCTAAGTTGTTTTATGACAGGATCTCCTGTACTCAGGCTTTCTTCAAATTCCCGGTGTAGCCGTGGCTGGCCTTGAACTCCAGCATGCCTGGATTACAGCTGCGCACATGGTTTCTAACTTTGCCTGCCTTATTCTGCACATGCCCTCCATCTCTCCCCTCCTCTGGATTAGGGCGCCTGCCTTCTCTGTACCCTTGCAGCCAGTGGAGTCGCTCTTGGCATGCTAACTCTGCCTCACTGGCACATGGACATTTTCTGAAAGTGGGTCCTGTTCAGACCTCTGCCCTAAGCTCTGCTCACTTCACTCGCGCCCGGGCACCTGCCTCTGGGGAGCCCCTGCACCTGCTGGCGGCTCTCCTGCCTGAGTCTCGAGGAGCACATTCAGGGAATATGAGACCCGGCACGTACCTGCTCCCTGCCTGTTTTCTCTCCCAGAACACCCAGTTTGTCTTTAGAAATGAGAGCCGGACGGCAGCAGTGAGTTCAGCTTCTCTCGGTAGCTTGCATGCCCTTCGCTGCCTGTTTTTGTCTGTATCAGGGGTCCTCAACCTTTCTCATGCTGTGACCCTTCAATACAGTTCCTCCCGTTGTGGTGACCCCCAACCATAAAACTATTTTTGTTCTTACTTCATAACTGTAATTTTGCCACTGTTATGAATCCTAATGTAAATACCTGTTTTCCCATGGTCTTAGATGACCCCTGGGAAAGGATCAGTCAATCCAGGGGGCGCGACCCACAGGTTGAGAACCAGTGGTTTACACTCTACATTGGCTTCTCCTGTGCTGCCTGTGATGGTGACCCTAAGGATTGCCAGCCAGATCTTGATATGCAGTAGTTACTACGTATTCCCTCAAAACCAGAAGTGATCTCTGAGAAAGCTGAGCGACTGAATACCGTCTCTACAGTATACCAGACAAATGCTGTTTTGCAGCGGGAACTCACGTGGGCAGAGATGACCTACCGTGGGGCTGGAGGGTCAGCGTCCCCCTTAGCACCCCAGCCCTTACCAGGTGCTCCACAGCACCTGCTGCTCGACTGATCAGCCTTAGCAGACCCTATTATTTCTAAAAGATGGCATTTTCCAGACTTTCCTGATCTACAATGAAACGTGCGTTTTTCTTAAAGCGGTGGAAATAGAATAATTCATATTGCGAGGGTATTTACTAGCAGCCAGACCCTCATCTTGCTCTCCGGGGCTCTGCTAATCACCTATTTCAGAAGCCATTAGCCTCTGTGGCTCTAACGCACTCTTCACAGAGCCCCTGTGCGCCTTTGTGTTCCTAGGGGAGGAATGGTGTGTGCAGGGTAACAGACCTGTGTTGACCAAGTCAGAAAGTCTTTGATACACAAATAGTGTATTAAATGCTTTTATTTGATAGTGTTGAAATTAAACAGTGTGTGGAATTCCTTCCCGGGTATAGGAGCATGTAAAACCTTTTTGAGAATATGCCTGTTCTTTCAAACGTTTAACATTTATGAGACGCAGTCCTATAAGAAAAATGCGCATTGAAATAATATAATAATCAAGGCTTAGCCACTTGCAGAAGGCCAGTGGGAGCCGAGTTTAACTTATTGATTTTAGAACTACACCTAAAAGGGGGGGGGATATTGCCTTTACTGTTTTCAGATAATAATGACTGTTGTTGCAAATTATAAAATTTAATTAGCTATATAAATGCCAGAGGAACAAATGGTTTGCCATTGTCTTGATATCTTTCCAGAAATTAGTCTTTTAAAATAAATTTGCCATATTAATCATCTAAAAATATTTTTGATCACTGAATTAATGGTTTTAGGGCTGTTTTCAGGTACTCATTGCTATAGGTGATTGCTTCTTAATTACTACATGCGCTCTCTATTCACTCATATTAATTCATGTTTGCTGGCACAGTCCCAAAGGCAGCCTGCCCTGGATCTTCTAATTACTTCTATAATTGAATTTGCCCACTCTTTCTAACCTATTTTTTAAACTGACTGTGTTTGTTCCAGGTTTATTGTGTCTTTTTGTGTCAGTTCCCCGCAAGCAGAATGTACATTGATTCTTTCCTCCTTTCTCATTAATTTTCAAGAGCTTGGCCGCATGTCTGCTTTTTCAGTCTGTCAGACCTATTGCAAAACGGGGAAAAAAGGAAAAAGGGGAAAAAAGGACTTTTATTATTAAAGGTTAGGTAAAATAGACTGAAGTTAATTAATTCATTAGTAACTCTGAGCCAATTACTGAAGCCTTCTCTTATTTATATACTTGTTAACAAGGCAGAAATGAGAAAGGCCAATTACGGGCACATGTCCTTCAGAAGTTCAGCCACCTCCGTGCTTATGCTCTCGGTGATACCTCTCCAAAAGCTCCACGTACGTATCAGATGTGTGAGGTCACTTAAAATAGTGTTGGGACAGGGACAGCTCTCCACCCATCCTCCATCAACACAGCTGAAGGATTTACCCCATCTATACATCTTAATATGCCTAACACTTAAACTGATTTCTCTTAAAATTTTCCCAAAGAGTCTTGCTTAGCCTTAGGCAATTACAGAAATAAAATTGATTTGATGGGATTTTTATTTACATAAATGATTTTTAAAAATCTATCTTATTTGCTATGACACTTTAATTCTTGAATTGGAATAACTAATTAGCAGGTTCATACAACAGAGCCTTCCAAATATGCTCTGCTTGATTTTCATGGCATATACCAAAGCTGTACGTGGAAAGGCAACTTTTTCTAGATTTTTCTAAATAATCAACAAAAGGAAGATTTCACTATTCGTAGGGGCATAGTCCACATGGTGATAGTACTTGCTCTGCCTTGCCTGGGTACCTGGCTAATGTCTCACCGTGCTTGCTCTGCCTTGCCTGGGTAGCTTGCTGATGCCTCCTCAGTGCTCGCTTTCTCCTGTCTGGACAGTTCACTAATGGCTCCAGCGTTATGAGGCGAGGAGAAAAGGATTAAACACGCTCCTGCCCATCTGTATTCTATTCACACATTTGTGCCAGCATGGAGCCAAAGAAAAATCAACGAAAAGTCAATTGACACTAACGTTTCAATAAACGTACTGGTTTTTGGAATGAAAACCAAAGGGCATCATGGGGATTTTTTTTCTCTTTTTCACTTTATATAAACAAAGCTTATCATGGTTAAATGACACTGAAAAAAAATCTCATGGTTCCTAAAGTTTTGACTTTTACCTGTCCTAAGTATATTAAAATGTGGTCGGTTGGTTTTGCATCATAACAATTATAAAGTGTCACAAGAGAACAGTCTCAGCAGATGGCTTAACCTGGGTCCTTAATTCTTGAAAAGACAAAGTTTAACGATCAATGGACTACTTGCTCCAGAAACTATTTTCTTCTGTATGCAGAGCAAATACTGTCTGTGTTCTACCCTCTCCTGTTGATGGTTAGCTATTCTATGCTTTTCACTTTCTTCCCCAAACTTAAATAATTTGTGACTTTTTCTCTGCTGAGTGAATGGCTAATGCATGATAGTCACTGTGTTTTAAGTACTTTGTAGCCCGAGAACCTCAGCGCACACAGATTCTCTGCAAATGTTTGTCAAAAGACAGACAAGGAGCCCAAGTGGCCTGCCCCCCTTAGTTCCTTCAGCATTAAATGTGCCGCCCTCCGACTCCCGTCCCTTAACCCCCCACACCTCAGGCCTTGGTGGAGTAAAGAATCTCTTGCTTTAAAAATATCCATCAATGTATCTTGATTTTCTTCAGTAAGTGCCCTAAATTGGTAGCAAATGTTCCATTATTTGTTCACTATGGAGCCATCCCTCTTCCAAAATAAAAAAATCTATACTAATTTTTCATCAAATCAACTGTTTTTCATTTTTAAAATTACTATATGAGTTTTAAAGTGTGTGTGTGTGTGTGTGTGTGTGTGTGTGTGTGTGTCTTTACCAATCTCAGATATGTTGCTTTGGACCAGGACCACACAGGCCCTGGCTACTCTGCTTGCTTCCTTGTCTAACGCAGGCTGTGTTTTCATAAGCACCATGTAAGCCAGAAATAAGCGTCCTGACTCCAGCACTCGGAGTGAGGGGTTTTTCACTTGCTAGTTCTTCCTTGCTAGCAATGAGCCAATAGTCTTGCTAATTTGTGAATGTCGTTGGGGCTTTCTTTATATTCCTCCTCCCTCCCTTCCTTCCCCCCTCCCTTCCTGCCTCCCTCCCTTCCTATTCCCCTTCTTCCTCCTCCTCTTCCTCCTTCCATTATCTCTCCTCACTCCTGAAATAAGGTGGTTTCATACACAAGATATATTGGCACCTAGTGTCTCATTTGATTCCTACAGACCAGATGTTATACAGAGAAACAAACTGAAATTCACAGTTAAACTGAGGCACCCAGAGCCTCCCTGTGAGATAAATAGATCATTGGTTTCCTTTTCAGAACGAAGTTCCCCCTTGATGAGAGGAAATGGCCTAATGTCTTAATGTGTTCTCAGGTGGGTTGTGTATAGGTCATTAAATTAAGAAGACGTGACCTTGTATAAAGTACCGCTTTTCAAACTTCACTGTACACATAGGGCCCCTCACCCTGGTGAGGAGAAGTGCTGGTCTTCCCAGCCCCGTCAGGGCTGCCAGGCAGGCCTTACCTGTGTAACGTAAGTCTGCTTACTATAGAGCTGAAGTGCTACCATTCAAAGTACTTGCTCCTTGAGTTTGTTCCCGGGACCCTGGGCACTCTACGTCTTAACTGAGCATAGTGTTCCTTTGTGGCATCTCAGTGGAAGCCAGCTGGCCTTGGGAAACTGACTGTCAGTGAGTGAATCTGTGTCTACTCCATGCCCATTCCCTAGCCTCCTCACCGTGTAACTTTCCAGTGAGCTCCAGCGTGGAGAGTCACGTACAGACTCTGCCTTTGACCTGAAACCTTCAGTGCACCAGCCACTGTATCCCTGCTACACCCTCCTGTCCCTGCTTCATGCCTGAGCCTGCAGTCTGGGCTTCCTGGCTTCTCCCTTGTTCCCACTGTCCCCTCAGGCCTCTGTCATGGCTACAAAAATGCTACCACTCAGTCGCTCAGGCTCTGGGGAAGCATGTTTCCTGGAGGGAGAGGACGGATAGCAGGAAACATGTTTCCTCTATCCGTCCTCTCCCTCCAGGAAACTCACACGTATCTGGGTAGAAACCCCATGGCTTCTTTTTGTATTATAACTGAGATTCTAGTGTTTCATATACCTGCCTCAACTCCATTTTGTGCAGATGGTGTCCAGGTAACGTTCAGGTAACAGTGGAAGGGAACCTAAGACACCCCTCAGTTCTTATGGCTGGTCTATGTGGTTGTAACTAACCCACCTGAGGTTCCTCATCTTCAAAGTGGGAGCCTGTAATACATGCAGCTACTAGGAGGGAATATCGTATATTATAGTTAAAAAAGAAAAGCCTCCCATGGTGCCCAACACAGAGGAACAGCTCATCCCAGTGGAACTGAGTGGATCTCAAGTGGCTGTTTACTCCCAGCACAACTCAGACGTTCATTCTGCGTGAACCCTGAACCGAAGCCCAGCCCCTCCCCCGTGTGCATTTGACCATTTTCCTTGCTCTGTGCCTGCCGCTACTGAGTCTGAGTGCGGTATTGCCAGTTCACCTATCTTGAAATTTAGGTCTGTTTGTTCACCTAGCTGGAACCAATATTCAGTGATAATGCCATGTTAAAAAGAAGCAGGAACACTGCTTTCAGGGCTGGAGGGGAGATTGAGAGCTAAAAGCACTTGCTGTTCTAGGTACCAAGATGGCAGCTCACAACCATCTCTACCTCTACTTCCAGGGAATCTGACACCCCCTTCTGGCCTCTGTGGGTGCCACACACCACACACACACACACACACACACACACACACACACACACACACACACACACGGTGCATATACATACATACATACATACATACATACATACATACATACTTGTAGGTGCAACGTTCATACATACAAAACAAAATGTTTTGCTGTTTGTTTGTTTTTCCCACACAGGGTTTCTCTGTGTAGCCCTGGCTGTCTTGGAACTCACTCTGTAGACCAGACTAGCCTGGAACTTGTAGAGTTCCACCTGTCTCTGCTTTCTGAGTGATGGGATTAAAGGCGTGCACCACCACGCCCAAGGAATAAAATATTTTTTTAAAAAACATTGATCTCAGAGAAAGCCAGGGTTTGACTCTGTCCATCTCTTTTTGGGGAATTATTCAATCTTTACTGTGATAACCTCAGGACTTACAGTCCAGTGGGTTGTTTTATTTTATTTTGTTTTTATTTCTTTGAGTTTGGGGAGGAGGATTTGAGGCAAATTTTCAGTTTATAGCCCAGGATAGCCTATAGCCTGTGGTCGATCCTATCGTCCTAGCCTTTGGGTGCTGGGATTATAGGAGTGAACTCAGCTGAAACCATTTTCACTAGAGGAAAATATAAAACAAAACTTTATAGAAATGATAGTGTGTTGTTCCTGCAGCCCCACAAATTACAATGTTATCACAGGACAAGAATGACTGTAAATACCCTAAATATCCCTCCTTATAAGTCAAACCTATGTATTTCAATATATAACTAAATGCCTTATACTTACATTTAATCTAAATATATGCTTGATGTCTAATTACTTAATTATTTTACGTACAAAAGTTTTGATGAAGTGTTTTTATTTTAATTGCTAGCAAGATATGCTTTTTAAAAATTTTGTAAGTGTGTATGCTGGTTTTGGAAGTGTACATGTGTGTTTACATGTGTGTGTGTCTATGCAGGCAAATGAATACAGAGGCCAGAGGAAAGCCTCAGGTGCCATTCCTCAGGCACTGCCTGCCTTTGTTGTTGAAACAGTCTCTCACTGGCTTGGAGCTCACCATTGCTCTGCAAGCACGAAGATCTCAGTTCGATCCTGCATTGGGCAAGTAGAGGCAGGTAGATTCTAGAACTAAATCTTCAGCTAATCCTGTACTTGAGTTCCAGACCAGAAAGAGACCCTATTACGTGGACAACACACACACACACACACACACACACACACACACACACACACAATTTGCATATAGTGCACACATACATACAAAACGGAAAATAGGAAATAGGCCAAATCCTGTTTTAATAAGGGTGTGTATGGAAAGAAAATTAACTG